ACCAGGGGTTGGGGGGGGATGCAAATGGAGGTGAGGGGAGACACCTAGGGGTGGGGGGGACACCTGGGGGTGCAGCAGGATGCTTGGGATTGATGAGGACCCCTGGGGTAGGGGGATGCTGATGTCAGAAAGTAGGGGGTGTCCAGGGCTGGTGGGGACACTCAGGTCCTGAGGGATGGTGGTGGGGGGGTCGAGGTGGGGAAGGGATGACAAGAGATACTCAGGGTTGGCAAGGATACCCAGAGCAGGACTGGGCCACCCAAAACTAATGGGGACAGCAGGGGTGGGAATGGGATGCTCAGAACCACTGGGATGCTCTGGAGATGCCCAGTGCTGGTGGGGCGCAACCAAGCAGGTGACACCAGAACTGGGGGGAAAGGGGGGGGGGGACATAGAGGTAGGGGGGACACACGTGGGGACACTCACTGTGCTGGTTGATGAGCATGCGGATGGAGATGCGGCTCAGGTAGAAGCGGTCGAGGAAATATTGGATGTTCTGGTTGGACACTGGGTCGTCCCCATAGGCGTCCTTATATTCGATGACACCCTGTGCCATGGTGGGCACCACGTCGTTGTGGCGGTTACGGATGGTGACCAAAGCATTGGTGAACCTGGGAGGGAGGGGTTTGGGGGGGGCTGAGGGGTGATAAGGAGTGTGGGGCAGCTGGGGGGGGTGGGTTTCCCCATAGGTGGCATAGGGGAGAATACAGAGTGGGGCTGCGGTGCCAGAGGTGACGCTATGGGGAGGGGGGTCACCCCACACTCACTGCCCCAGCGTGGTCTGGTCTTCGGGATCCTTGTCGAGGAACTCCATGATGTCCAGCAGGCTCTGCACGTACCTGGGGGAGGAGATGGTCACCCCATGGCCACCCCAAATAGAGGGGACACCGACAAAGGGAGAGGGGCTCAGCACCCCACCTTACAAAACCACCCTACTGTCACGAGGAGGGGGGTGCGTGCTTGTCCCCCCACCCCACAGCATGGCAACCATGGGGACAGCAGAGATAGAGCCCCCCCCACAGCGATTTGCCCACCCCCCATACGTGTGCTTTGACAGAAGGGCACTGCCAGGCCATGTTACCCAGCCCCCCCCACAACCCCCCCAGTGCCACTGGCAGTGCTGGCACAGACCTGAGGACACAAACAACTCGTCACGTGGCGGCTGGGAGTGGGGCCAGGCTGCCAGCACCGCCCTTAAAGGGACACCCAGAGCCTGCCCCCACCCCACCCACACAGCCCCCCCCCTGCCATGGGGTGAGAGGGGACAGCAGGGACAGGAGGATGGGGCAGCACCCCTTGGATGAGGACCCCTCCATCCATTGTCACCCCAGGGTAAGAGATGGGTGCTGCTCTGTGGGATGTCTGTGTCCTGTCCCTGTGCCACCAACCCACCCCCCCTCCCTGCCAGCACTCCATGGACCTGCTGGGGAGGACAGCTAGCAGCAGGGGGGGGACCAGAGGTGGCAGCAATGACAGAAGTCATAGTGGGATCCAGCCATGGAGGTGGGACCCACAGGGACAGCAGGCAAGTGGTGGCAGAGGGACCTATGGGGGCACCCAGCAGGTGGTGGCAGTGGGATTGGACCCCTCTGGGTGACAGCAGTGGGATCCATAGGGGCATAGGGGAGGTGACAATGATGGGACCCCTCCTGGTGACAGCAGTATGAACTATAGGGATATATGGCAGGTGGTGGCAGTAAGACTCTCTGAGTGACAGCAGTGGGATGTATGGGGACACCTGGCATGTGGTGGCAGGGGGACCCCCCTGGGTGACTTTGGTGTGACCCACAGGGGCATGTGGCAGGTGACAATGGTGAACCCCTCCTGGTGACAGCAGTGGGGCCGTATAGCAGGTGGTGGCAGTGGGATCAGACACCTGTGGGTGACAGCAGTGAGACCCATAGGGGCACATGGTGGCAGTGAGATCCCTCTGTGTGACTGTGGCGAGACCCATGGGGACACCTGGCTGATGATGGGACCCACAGGAGCACGTGGCAGGTGACAATGGTGAGATCCCTCTGGGTGACAAGAGAGACCCAAAGGGGCACCTGGCAGGTGGTGGCAGTAGGATCAGACCCCTGTGGGTGATAGCAGTGGGACCCATAAAGGTGACAATGGTGGGACCCCTCCAGGTGACAGCGGTAGGACCTATAGGGGCAGGTGGTGGCAGTGGGACCGGACCTCTATGAGTGACAGCAATAGGACCCATAGGGGCATCTGGTGGTGACAGCAGGACCCCTCTGGGTGACTGTGATGGGACCCATAGGGGCATCCAGCAGGTGGCAATGGCACCCATAGGGGAACAGGGCAAATGACAATGGTGGGACCCTATGGGTGACAGCACTGTGAGCCATGGGGACACCAAGCAGGTGGTGGCAGTAGGACCAGACCCTATGAGTGACAGCAATAGGACCCATAGGAACACACAGCAGGTGCCAATGGTGGGACCCCCTCCCGGTGCCACCCAGCAGGTGACAACGGGGGCGATGTCCCCATGCTCTCTGCTCACCAGCTCTGCACCAGCTGCACGGAGGGGGTGTGCAGCACGCGGTCGGGCAGCAGGTTGATCTCCTTCATGATGTTGGAGAGGCGCACGGGCAGCTCCTGCCGCAGGAAGGCGAAGGATGTCTTCTCACAGGCATTGCTGGAACCTGGGGGAGGCAGGAGGGGGGGTCAGCAGCAGCCCTGCAGTTGAATGAGCCCCTCATCTCCTCATAGACCTTCCTCTGAGGGCATGGGGGGAGCCAGCGCAGCCCAAGTGTGCCTCGATCATAAGGGATGAGGGCATTGGGTGCCATCAGAGTGGGGTTCACCCCACGAAGGTGTGTGTGGGGGGGGGAGGTGACACAGGGACAGAGCCCAGAGAATGGGGACAGCGCTGCAGTTCGGGGGGATGCGGGCAGAACGAGGGGAGGGAACCCGGCTGCCAACCGCAGCAGGGCAGGAAGATACAGACCTGAGCTTAACCGCTAGAGGGGGGAGGTCTCAACCTGGGGACATCCCCCCCCCCCACCCCCAACGTCCGGTGTTTCCCGGCGTAGGGATGGCGGCTGCCGGGGGGGGGCGTGCCCATGCCGGGGGGGGCGTGCAAATCAACGGGCAGCCCCACCCCGGACCGGCTGTTTACAGACCGAGGGGTACGGACACACGGACACACGGACACACGGACACGGCGACTTCAACAGACCGGGGGGGGGGGGGGGGGCTGCCT